CTACAGGGCGCGTGCGCTCACCAGAGAGACAGAGACAGAGAGACAGAAAGCGAGAAATCACCCCCCAGGGGGGATGGCCACGCCACAATCCCTTCTCCTCCATTCTCCTCTCAGGCTCTTGGGCACACACGCACACGCGCCTGGTGTGAGTTTAAGCCTCCAGTTCCAGGACTCAAACTGCAGTCGACTACATGGGAGTCCAGCGACAGAGCCATTATGCCAACCGCTGGTCCCAAAAAGCATCTTTTTTGACAGAATCGTTTGCAGTAAAGTTCTTAGCAAGAAATTTTGGTAAAAAGAAGGTAACCAAGTTTCTTGAAATTTCTTAAGGGGCTGAACAAGGGATTAAAAACGGCCCTCCAGGAAAGTACCCGACGCCGCCCAGACGACAGCCTGGGCAAGCAGTCCTGCCCCTCGACACGTGGCCCAGCTCGGATGCTCCCATCTGTCTGTGTGCTCAGAGGGTGACAGCTGGGAGAGAGGACGAGCAAGAGTTTCAGGAAGAGGGGCACGTGTTCCGGAGGGGCCAGCAGAAACTCGGCAGCTGCTGTCTCCCACGCAGCCAAGGTTCAGGGAGGGGAAGGCGGTGCCCCCTTCTGCTGCCCCCCAGCAGCCGCTGGAAGCGCGCCCTGACGGCGTGCTGCTCTGACAGCTCGCTTGTTTACAACGCTCTACTGCTCGAAGGGTGCGCTCGCAGATTAACTCGCCAGTCAGCTGCATTTCTTTGCAAGTATCAAAAATAAGCTCTGGTGACAAAATGAACCACTGCAGACAGGCTGGAAGGACATCGCGCTGACCGGGTGAAGCCGCTGCTTCTTACGTTTTGGGGGGGCTGTGAGTGATGTCTGCTCTGCCAGGGTTCCCAGTTTCTTTGGGCAGGTGCACTTCCAGGAAGAGACAGAAACAAGGAATCCCCCACCCGGGGATGGCCACGCCGCAGTCCCTTCCTCTCTACCCTCCCCTCAGGGTCTTGGCCAAGCACGCACACACGGCCAGCCTGAGTTTCAGGCCGCCAGGCCCAAGACTGCAATCACAGTAGGCCACGTGGGAGTCCTGCAACACAACCATTACGCCATCTGCTGATCCCAATGTTTTATTTTTCTTTAAAGTAGCTAACTCATGAGTGTAAGGATTGCATTGCTAGACTTCCACATGGCCGACTGGGGTTCGAGTCTCTGACATGGGTGCTTGAAACTCACGCTGGGCGCATGTGTATGTGTGGCCAAGATCCTGAGAGGAGAATGGACGAAAGGGGATTCCAATGTGGCCCTTCCCCCTGAGATGATTTCTCGCTTTCTGTCTCTCTGTCTCTCCAGTGAGCGCTCATACCCTATAGCAAAAAATCTCTCAAAAAAGACAAAACAAAATAAGGAAAGCAGAGCACTGCTGGCTCCCACGGAGTGGCCGCCCGGGGGCGATTTCTTGCTCTGTCTCTCTGTCTCTGTTTCTCTGGTGACCATATGCACCCTATAGGAAATATCTCTCTAGGAAAAAAAAAAAAGGAAAAAATAAAAAAAAACACAGGCAAATTTTTTTTTTTTATTTTAAGAGAAATTTTTGTTATAGGGCCTATGCGCTCACCAGAGACAGATAGAAAGCGAGAAATCACCACCAGGAGGGATGGCCACGCTTCAATCCCTACTCTTCCATTCTCCTCTTGGGATTTTGGGCATGAACGCACACACGCCCAGCATGAGTTTGAAGCTGCCGGGTCTGGGAATCGAACTGTGTTCGACTATGTGGGAGTCCAGCGACGAAACCATTACGCCATCTGCTGGCCCCAACATGGGCAAAACTTTTCTGGTAGGACACAGGGATGTGTCATTCCAGCACTCACAGAGCCCGTCCCCCGTGAGCTCGGGACACAGGCGCAGCTGCTGCCGTGCCCCGCCCCGGCGCTGCGTGTTAGGAAGCCTGGCGCTGCGTGCTAGGAAGCCCCGGCGCTGCGTGCTAGGAAGCCCCGGCGCTGCGTGCTAGGAAGCCTGGCGCCCCCCGAAGGCGGGGACCCAGCACTTACCAGCAGCATCTTCACCGGGAGCAGGTAGATCAGGACCATCCTCTTGTTCTTCTGACTCGAACGGTGGCAGTGCTCGAAAGCGAAGGACAGGCACTCCTCAGCTGTGGGGACAGAGCACGGTCTGCAGTGCCCTGCGACACTGAGCCACCGCACACCCGCTCGCCCTCAGCCCACACGTCACCTGAGGCGAGCTGCTCTGGGTGCCACCCCTGCCCTCTCAGACACGGCCCGTGACCTAAGGAAAACCCACAGCCCGGACGCAGCAGGAAGCCCGATGACCACCGGGAGCCCTCTGACACACTGAAGAAAGCCAGTTCCACGAGGTGCCAACCTGCCTGTGAGTCTAGCCGCTGGGAATGTCTGGTATCAATTCATTTTGGGGAGGGAGTTTTTGGTTATGGGGTGCATGGCCTCGCCAGAGACAGAAAGCAAGAAATCACCCCCTGGGGGCATGGCCGTGCCTCAACCCCTTCTCCTGCATCCTCCCTTAGGATTTGGGGCACATGCACACAGACACCCAGTGTGAGTTTTAAGCTGCCTGGTCCAGGATGCAAACTGCTGCTGGTCCCCAGCGTCAACGTGAATAAAGCCCTCCTTGCTGTGTTAGCCGTGCAGCGGTGGCACCTGATGAGTCCCTACGGGACAGACATGCCGTGACCTTAGAGGCGGCCAACAGCGTGGCGTTAAAGCCCCACCTGCCCTATGCTCTACGTGTGTTCACCGGACAAAGAGCAGGAAAAGGAGAAATCAGTCTCGGGGACAGCCACGGCATAGCCCCCTTTCCTGTCCTCTCGGGATCCTGGGCACACACGCACACGCCCTGGCATTCCTCAAGCCGCCGGGTCTGGGACTAAAGCCACAGTCAGCCCTGCGGGTATTTAGCGCCTTAACCACCATGCCACCTGCTGGTCCAATATATTCTTTAATTTTAAAATTGTTTTATTTGCCCAAGGGCACATGTGCTCACCAGAGAGACGGAGACAGAGAGACAAAGAAAGGCTGCCCACTGGGGAATGGCCACCGTCTCGACTCCATTTTCCACCCTCCTGGGGTCTCAGGCATGAATATGCATCAGCCATGTCCCTCAGGTCATGAGAGCCAGGATTCAAACTGGCCGGCCTTGGGGTACGGGCTGCCTTAACCACTAGGCTCTAGGGCTGGCCTGTGGGGAGGCTCTAGGGCTGGCCCTACGTTTTGTACACTAAGGAAAAAAAAAAAACAGATGCACGAATAATCAAGAAAAGACCTTCTTTAAGCAGCCCAGACCTGGCCAGCGCCACCGCAGCGGTTAAAAGCTGCACATGCAAAGCTGGCCCTTCAAGGCCAGCACAGTACAAACGCGACGTGTGGGTGGCTACCTCTGCCGAGAGCACGCACCCCCTGGCACCTGAAGAGGGAAACTGTCTTAATTAAAGCAGATCTACTAAAAGCATCGTGAAAGAAATGGAAACTCAAGTCTGTAGCAGCAGATGGAATAAAACCCAAAGTGATTAGTATGGAAAAGCTGTCATTCCGGCCATCCGAAAATCCACAGCCACCCCCCTCCTGCTCCGAGTTACACTGCTCACAAGGCACTGAAGAATCAGTTTCACAGTTTAAAAGGCTGGTTTGGGGGCCAGCATGTGGCGTGGTGGTTAATGCACTGGGTCCCACATTGCTGGCTGCATGGTTCAAGTCCTAGGCCTGGTGGTTTGGTATCATGCCAGGCATGTATGCATGAGTGCCCAAAACCCCAAGAGGAGAAGGTACAGCAACGTGGTCACTCCGCCAGGGTGATTTCTTACTCTCCTGTCTTCTCCCTCCAGAGAATGTACACACCCTATGGCAAAAATCTTCAAAAAAAATACTGGTTTGAGGTTAGCCGGTGGTTAAGGCAGCTGGTTACACGGTCTGAGTCCCAGACCTGGTGGCTTGGGAAACATGCCGGGCACACGCGTGTGCATGTCCCAAATCCCGAGGACAGAGCAGGGGCTGCGGCACGTCCTCCCCCGGGGCTGACTTCTCACATTCCCTCTCTCTCTCTGCCAAACACATGTAGCAAACTTCTTTTCCAAAACAGGTTTGGGTTAACAGAAAGGAACACAAGATCATACAGAACAAGTCCAGGTCAGCTAATGAGGAAATTCACCAAGAAAAAGGCAGGGCCCACCTTCAGGGGCACACGCCACTGGGACTGCTGCCCCCAGGCTGAGAGACGCACGGGGTACTGGTCCCACCCGGCCCACCCCCAACCCCGGGCTCAGTGCTGCGCACTGGGGTCTGAGCTGCTGGGAGGATCGCATGGCAGGGGGACCGACTTTTACGTAACACACAGAAAAAGGAAGAGGGGGAAAGACTGTTTGTGCTCTTGAGAGTGCCCAGCACAGGTACGGTGCCGATGCCGAAATACAGGCAGCTCCCACGGGCACGACAGGCTCATGAAGCCTAGGTCCGCCCACGCCTCGCTGAGCCGACGGCAGGCTGAGACATGAGCGGCCCTCGTGTCCGCGCCCCGCGCCCGTGTGGCCCCTGCCCTCGTGTCCGCGCCCCGTCTGCCCTCGTGTCTGGGCCCCGCGCCCGTGCACCCCCTGCCCTCGGGGGCGTGAGGCAGAGCGAGAAGGCAGTTCCTGGCTTGGGTGACCGGAGCTGGCGTGCACGCTGGAGACCCGGCCATGCTTCTGAACCCCAGGGGCAAGGTCTCTGTATGTCAACTCCGTGTCAGAGACAGCGGTCACGAAGCCGCCTCAGACGCCATGCTGCTCAGGGAGCGGTGTCTGCCACGTCGGGCAGCTGTCAACAGCCCACCTTGCTTGAAGTCGCTATCGAACATGGCCTTGCGTCCGACGTAGTACTTGTAGGTGACCCGCTGTGCCGTGCTATAGCCGTCCTTCAGGTTGGAGCTGTCGATCGCACGGATCAGCGGTCTGCACAGGTGGAGCTTGTTGATCTGCGGGAATCGGGGAACGGGCCGTCCCGTGTACTCGGACAGCAGATGGGCAAGGTCAGAAAGACAAGCTCCCAAGTTAAAAGTACACGTCTCCTTAAAATGGTAGCGAAAACCTGTCCTGTCGCCAAATCACTCATTTAGTAGTGAAGCTGAGACACCAGCCCCCGGTACAGGCCTGCAGGCAGCAGAAGGCTGCAGGGCAGCCGGGGCCCCGAGGGGGAGCCCGCGCTGGAAAGTCTGGTGGGGACAGGCAGGGGTCTGGGGAGCACGAGGCCCAGGACAGAGGGGGCAGACCTGCAAGGCCTCCATGACAGCGCCTGGCCTTGGGCAGGCACTGTGCAGCATCAGCCCCTGGTTGAGCGTGGCTGCGACCGCTCCCCAAAACACGCCAGGGGAATGTCGGGCGTCTGGAGGCCAAATAGCATGAACCAGAGAGGGCGTCGCATGAAGAACTTGGCCGGTGCCTACCTTGAAGTAGATCTTGAACAGCTGGTTCACCAGGAACAGCATGCCCCACTTCTTCGAGTCCTCTATGCCGGCGCGCCTGGGGAGAGGCTGGGTTAGCCCCTGCACACGAGAGCTTCACGCACAAACCACGCAGACCACCTAATCGAACGGGCGCCTCAGGCAAGTCTGCAGTCGGTCGCCGCTGTAGCCGGCCTGACAGCCGGGCACGGGGTGGGCACCTCGAGCCCTGGCTACTCAGGGCGCTGGGCGGAATGGTCAGGTCATGTGGGGGAGGGCCAGCAGGGCTCGCGGTCCTAGACACCAGGGCGCCGACCTTCCAGCACGCTAGCCGCGTCATACGGGGAGTGCTCAGAGCGTCTGGAAAGGAGACGGAGCATGCCCATCATTCCAGCGGGCGCACTGCTGCGCACGGACAGCAGACCCGAGACGGGAGGCACAGAGGCAAGCGCTGCAGGAGGCCACCTGTGACGCAGCCCGCCAGGTGCGGGGCAGCCCAGACAGCACCAGGGCGCCAGCAGGGACAGGGGTCCCCGCAGGCTGCCGTCCCGAGCCTCGGGCTGTCGCATCGACACGCACGGCATGTCACCACAGCAGCGTGCGAGCACGGGCGGAGATGCGTGTCGTTCTGGCAGCAGCGTTACAATAGGGAACGGAGGTGTGGGGAAGGTATGCCGATGTCTGCGGAGAACGTGGAAATACTCCTTTGAAAACGAGACGGGGGTGCACCGAGATGGACAGAGAAGAGTGGGTCCCACGGCAGCAAGCACGCTGGCCGCTGACCAGGAGGAGTGGCGCGGGTCTCACAGTGGCTCACAGAAGGCCGAGTGCTTGGTGCTGCTCAGAAAGCATTTCTGAAACCCCCAGTCAGCCGGCGCGTACCTTCACTCTGCACACAGGTCCCCCACAGCAGTCTGCACTCTCCCAGATGGGGGTGCCAGAGCGCGGTCGACGGCAGGCCTGGCACCACGGGACCCACGAGTGGGAGTCGGGGCACCACGAAACCCAAAGCAGAAGTGCCCGGCACAGGGCGGCAGGGCCGCTCACAAGCTGAGCCAGCCAGCCGCCCTCAGGCCCTACAGCGCTGCCAGGGCCACACAGCCCAGGGCCCAGCATGGCCTGCCCAGCACCTGCCCCGTCAGCTGCTGGACCGGCTCCTGCATGGTGCCCTCCCACACAGCAAGACCTGAGTAGACACGTTCTCCCTCCTCGTCTCATCCTCATGTGCAGACAGGATGGACGCCAGCCGCGGAGGGTCAGGGAAGCCCATAACCACCCGCCAGTCAGGAGCAAACGCAGGGGCGGGGGGGCGC